AAGTACTCGTTAAATCAATACTTATTTGTGTAACTAGTGGGCAAAGTGGCACTTTGCTGCACACGAGAGCAATGTTTACGTACGAGCCGCAGGCGAGTTACACAGGTTACACAACTTGATGATGATAGGTCGCTACCAGCTACCGTCAGCGAATGACTCAGTGAACAGTGAAGGGGCCCCCAGGCTTTGGCTGTGACTATGCTGTCATCGTCATGCTGCTATTGACCGCTGCTGCGGCGCGGGCCAATACTGCCGTTAGGGTGCGTTCACAAAGAAAGCTGGTTACAAGCGCTTGTTGGCAAGCGCTTGCAAACTCAAACCGGCGTGAGAAAAGTCAACATAGTATCAAGCGTGTGCGTTCACAGACAAAGCTTGTGACGGCTAGCAAGCGCTTGTTACAAGCTCTGACAAGCACGCAAGAACGTTTCGTACTTGTTTTCCGGCGCTTGTTGGCCGAACCAGTCAGTTACAAACAACTAACAGTGCAGTCTGGATATCGATGAGTTGATACTTCAAGTATTTAGAGCTTCCAATTAAAAAAAAAAAAAAAAAAAAAAAAAAAAAAAAGATTACCCACGTATTTAACTTTAAACGTAGTTAACTCCATTCTCATATAAGAAAAAACCTCACTTTGTCCAATTTCAATTGAAGAAATAGACGGTGGTATTCCTCGAACTTACCTCCTCCGGGGTTAATTTAATGAACACCCTACTTTCCTTCTATGAATTTTTAATTTTACATTTTCAATCAAAAATAACTCTTCATCAATTGAGGAAGATATTGTCTCAACCAGAGCAAAGACTACACTGAGCTTGAAATGCAAGCGTTTGTTGTGAACACACAACAGCATTCTCAAGCGCTTGGAACAAGCGCTGAAAGTAAGTTACTTGTAACCAGCTTTCTTTGTGAACGCACCCTTACACAACTTGATGATGATAGGTCGCTACCAGCTACCGTCAGCGAATGACTCAGTAAACATTGAAGGGGCCCCCAGGCTGTGGCTGTGTCTATCCTGTCATCGTCATGTTGCTATTGACCGCTGCTGCGGCGCGGGCCAATACTGCCGTTACACAACTTGATGATGATAGGTCGCTACCAGCTACCGTCAGCGAATGACTCAGTAAACATTGAAGGGGCCCCCAGGCTGTGGCTGTGACTATCCTGTCATCGTCATGTTGCTATTGACCGCTGCTGCGGCGCGGGCCAATACTGCCGTTACACAACTTGATGATGATAGGTCGCTACCAGCTACCGTCAGCGAATGACTCAGTAAACATTGAAGGGGCCCCCAGGCTGTGGCTGTGACTATCCTGTCATCGTCATGTTGCTATTGACCGCTGCTGCGGCGCGGGCCAATACTGCCGTTACACAACTTGATGATGATAGGTCGCTACCAGCTACCGTCAGCGAATGACTCATTGAACAGTGAAGGGGCCCCCAGGCGTTGGCTGTGGATCGTATCTCGTCTGTTACATGTAAACAAAACATTACCTGCCTCCGCCTCCAACTAAACTGATGAAATGAGCGACACATTTCAACATTTCAATGCCGCTTGATTGTAGGATTTAGACAGTCCACACAGCATACTGAATACAATTATATGCTAGATTGTAGGTTGAATTTCCTCGTTCCACAAATAAACATCATGAATTGTCGTGAAATGCCTAGTCAGTTTTAAAACCTCAATATATATTTTAAAGTACATTTGCTGAGAGACTGGGTTTTATTCATTGCTGAAAGACTGTTTCACAGTTTAATTTACCGTACGTTTATACTCGTGCGTTTGGATTGTTTTAAGAATGTTATCAAGCTTTAGTTTTTTGTTTAATTTTTTTAAGAACACAAGCTCAATTTTGTGTTGTCCTTCAGTTTAGTCATTTCTGAATTTATTTTTTGATGGCGACGAAAGTAATTAGTTTTCCCCCGGATGGCGTGATATGACAAAAAACGGCTGGCATAGTCAATGCTGAAACATGACAGGTAAAGAATCCTCCATTTGTAAAACTTGCTCCATTCTCAACTTCTCGCTACAGTACTTTACTACACGACAAGATGATTGTTGGACTAGGTATGTTTTTACCATTTTTTGTCACCATCATGTAACCACTCAGACTGACTAGTTCGTGTAGTTTGCTTAGTTTGACCCTGTCGCTGGCTGTTCTTTGTCCGTCGACCTTTCTCCACAGTTCCGTGTTGTGATATAAAACTCTTGGGACGATGACTAACGCGGCGTGGTACCGCTATGTGCATTAGCCTTGACAGTAGCAAAGTAAACACGACAGTGGACAGCTTCTTGCTTATTATTGTATGTTTTGAGGTAATACCTAGTTAAGCTATAGCGGGTATCAGAACCACGTGGTCGGCGGCTCTCGGCTCTGCGCTACAGTTTGTAGTCACAGGGCCGCCCGCCGTCCTCAACTAGATTTATCGCGCCATTGTAGGCAAATTACTGAGACGGAGTGCTCTAAATGAACTTGTCACAGAGCTACACTGATGCATTTACTCCACGTACCATTGAAGTCACTGTGCAGTTATGTTGTACCATTGATTTATATTATAAACATTGGATAGTAAGCCTAGCATGCTTCATACAGTAGGCCTATGTTTGAAAACGAGGTTTACGGCGGGTTTTGTTAGCTGCTAAATTTTGGTAATTAGCTGCCGCACGGCTGCGGGATTTTTAATGTCATGCGCGTTTTCTTTCTCCCATGTTTTCGACAAGGTAATTTTCCTAGGACTGAAATATTCAATTGCGCATTTTTTGTATGCATGAACCGCAACTAGTGTATATAATTCTAGTAAAACTGTTTATCCTCAACCAGGAGATGGTAGAAGCAAGTTGATCGTCAGTCAGTGTCAGTGTCAGCTGTTGACAGTCAAGGTCAAAGTATGTTGTGGTTGTAGTCATGTTTATCGCGCGACGTCCAGCCCACACGTAACCCGATTACAGCTGATAGTTTACTGGACATGTCGAGGTTCAAGGATGTATGATCGCCGTCCTACGAGAAACTGATCTATTGGTGCAAACCTGATTGGCCCTATTGCAACCCAACTGTTTGCATGCACCAAACATGCTACAATAAAACCCGGGCTATAGAATACATTAGCCCCAAATAAAACAAACAAAAATTAAAATACTATATAACCACAGAAACAAGTATAAAATGCATGACAGTTTTTTCCCCCAAATTCAGTAATATAAGGAAATTTTGTTCAAACTTTTGGTTCAGAGTAGTAGGGGAAATAAGAAAGTGCCCAGAATATTTGTGTATATTTATTAGTTTATAATTTAATTGATCACCTTATCATAAACCCCATTTATTGATGGTAAGTGGTATAACCTTTTGTTACTTAAGCTTACATTTTCAAGCCACAATTAGTTGGCACAAATCAACAAAAAGCTTCAGTTGCACAATGCCTTGTCCACTTGAACTAAGAGGGTTTCCTTGTCACTTTAGATTTTTTGTTGTTGGTGATTGATTCAACTAGTCACTAAGGTACTTGCAAATGGTCTTCTGTGTTTGTGGGGAAATGTTTACAACTAGGCTAACCAAACTATGGACCATGTTATTGTGTTGCTACCTTTATTCATAAACTGATATTTTATTAGGACACTAGCTTGGAGTTTGAGAAACTAAATTTAATTTGTTAAGTTTATCAGTTCATGTTAAACAAGAGTATACAGTTGACAAAAGCTTCAAAAAATTTGGAATATTTTTCAGCAATTCAACTGGGTTTTGTATTTCTAGCCATCCAGCACAAACGCCTATGTGGCATCAATGAAAAAAAAACATGACACAGAGCACTGTTTAAAGAACATTTCAAAATGTGAAAATGTGAACTAAAAGACACATGGGCAGTCAAGTGTACAATAATGGCGCCAATAAGGCAGGAATCCACCATGTAGTCTAAGCCCTTGTTCTACAAGATTTTTGTCAGGATTTCTCATACCTTTTGGGGAACCTGGTAATAACTAATGGAAAGACATTTTCAGTCCAATACTAGAGGATCCATGCTGCTCCACAGCATTAAAATACGTAATATCCGAGAAATAATCAAATTTATGATTTTTGATTGAGTAATACAGTAACATGACCTTAACTGATTCAAACAATCAAAAGCTCAAATTAGAACCCATAATTTACGGATTTCTTTTAGTCCAAAACTTATAAAAACATAAACAGTACTGGAGCTATTGAGTTTTAATCACAGAAAAACCTTATGAAAAAAAAATTATGTTAGTTGTTCACCTTGCGTTTGTTTGAAACTCGTCCCATTTGAATAAATTAATAGCCAAAATAAAAGTCGGTATTTCACTCAAGATTCTTAGAAAAAACTTACAGGATTATATAGTTATTACTGGTGAAATACATCTTAAATTGAAGTGAGAATTTGAAAATGAGTCAAATTATGGTTTTTGGTCGAGTAATACAGTAGGTATATATGCCGATGCTTGATGGCAAATCTGTGCGTGCATACCTTCAATTTGAGACCTCAATCATGAAAATCGGTCAGGTAGAAGAGCCAAACGAACTCGGCAAAGAGAAACAAAATTTAACTCCCTTAAGAAATACATGGAGAGCAAATTTTGTTTACGTATAAACCGAGTTAGACTATAGATAATTATATGATGATACTTGATGGCAAATCTGTGCATGCATACCTTCAATTTGAGACCTCAATCATGAAAATCGGTCAGGTAGAAGAGCCAAACGAACTCGTAAAAGAGAAACATAATTTATTTCCCATAAGAAATACATGGAAAGGAAATTTCCTTTACGTATAAACCGAGTGAGACTATAGATAATTATATGATGATACTTGATGGCAAATCTGTGCATGCATACCTTCAATTTGAGACCTCAATCATGAAAATCGGTCAGGTAGAAGAGCCAAACGAACTCGGAAAAGAAAAACCAATTTTTTAAAATATATAAGATATATATCTGTATTTTGAATTCTTCAACTTGTTGCTAATGATATGCGATTGTTTGTTTCAGGCTGTGAAGCTGGAGAGTGTGCATGTACAGAGGACCAGATACCTGGTGGTGGTGTCTTGTATGGGTCGCCAGGGGGAGGAGAGTTGTTTGTTAGGGATAGACTGCAATGAAAAAACTACTGTGGGGCTGGTGCTCAAAGTGCTGGCAGATACGACCATCAGACTGGACGGCGACGGGTGAGTAAACATCAAAGTGCAACTAAATAAACTTACTCAAATTAAGTATATGCCCTCATCAACCCATCCTCCCCAAATGGTTTAGTTTGCAGAATACTCCTCACTTCCCCTTTCAGTCCCCACTTTCTCATATCCCTCTGGACCTGGTCCTAAACTCTTGGCTTTGGGTCTTTCACCTGCTTTTGTGCCTTCAGGACCATTTCATAGTTGTTTTTTTCCCTTTTTTTTGTACTATTGAGTCTTCTTTTTTCCAAATGTGTCTAGTCCGTTGTAACCTTAGGCTTTTTCTGTCCATTATAGCAGGATCTCTGTGGTGGGTTTCAGAATTGTGATTGACCATCCAAACTCCATCTTTTTTTAAGTTGGGCCGAAGATGATTTTAAGAACCTTGTTTTCAAAAACTTGCACATTCCTGTCTGCCTTCGTTTTCATGATACAGGTTTCTGAACCATATAGCAGTAGACATCCAACAATTATTTTATAGAGCCTTTTTTTTTGGAGCATGAGAGAAGTCTTGATATATGCAGCATATCCACTTTATTACTGTAGCTTATTCTGCTGGTAGTTTCTAGTTCTTATGAGTTATTATGTGTAAGTGTAAAACTAGATATATAAAATTGTTGACTTTTTCTCAATTATTGCTCCTAGCCCCAGTATAGGCTCTGTCATCCACTGATTAGCATAATAAATATTGTTTTTTTCTTTCTTCTTCAATTGTGCTTTATTCTTCTCTATTCTCAACAGCAAAATAAGTCAGGGCTATGATGTCCTATCTCAAAGAACCAGACTGAGTGGTATTATTCTCTGGTGATATTAGCTGTTCTATTATGTTCAGCTTTCGTATTAGGACTTTCATCCAATTTATTTTTTTCCTTGGTATGATTTACTTTGTCCCTCTTACTTTTTTACATGATTGGCCTTAGTTGTCAAGTACACAATCCAACCAATAATAGCAAAGGAACTGAACCAATTGTTTGTAACATATTGGTTTGTAAACACACATACTTTCCTAATTATCGGGAATCCTCTCTTAATATAATTTTTTTACTATATTTTTATTTTTTTTTTGCTGTGGCTCCCTAAGGAGATTGTGTTTCTCTCTTTGTAAATTTTAAGCATGTTGACAAATTTTAAATCTGATGAAAGGTTATTATAACGGGATTATAAGTGTTGTTGAAAGGTTTATTGCGGACATTTTCCATCACAATGATAAATACAATATAAACATCGTTTCGGGACTTTAAATCTGATCCTGTCTTCAAGGAAAAAAACTTAAATAACTCATTACAGCTAACAATATACAGCACCCAACAAAAGTTGGAATACACTACAGAGAGTAAGTCAAAATGTAAAACATAGCCAATCACAAAAGACAAAAATCTATGTAGTTCGGATTGCTTGACCATTAGGCTTCAGTCTCATTGGTGGCACCATTGTGATTAGTGTTCCACTGTTGTAAGCAATATACCCTATTACAATTGTTTATTTTCCTACAGATAGATTTTTTTTGTGTCTTGTGATTGATAATATTTTGCAATTTGTATCATGACTTGACTGCTATACAGTACATATACTTCACTGCTACTCTCTGTAGTTTATTTTAACTTAGGTTTGATTTTGTGTGTTGTTAGTTTTAATGAGGTAGTTGTGTTTTTTTTTTCCTGAAACAATGTGTATTGTATTTTACCATTGTGATAGAAAATGTCCACAATAAACCACAACATAAACTCACCATTATCAACGATGAACTTCAAACAAAGAGGTGTTGATTAGGTTTTAAGACTATGGACTTATGTTAACTTATTGCTCACATACAGACTTCGCCCATGTGGGGTCCACCCACTTTTTAAATTGTATATTCTGTATCACTGTTTTTTTTTTTTTTCTATAAATAACATTTCTATAAATAAAACTATTATGATTGGATTTAAATAAACAAGCAAATTTAATGAACTTATCTTGACAACTTATATCATAACATAAAAATTTCTTGAATTAAACTTTTACACTCCCCATACAAAGACTAATGTGTTTAACTCCCTCCCATTGAAAATGTTTGTTTGACTACTGTAAAATTGTCATTATGTTGATAGGCTGGGAGTTTAAAGGAGATATAGAATATATCTTGACAATACCTTATACATGATGTCTGTTACAGGGGATTCAGTGTGACTGTTTGTGGCAGATGTCACATATTCAAGCCAGTCTCTGTCCAAGCCATGTGGTGAGTTAATCTTGTGTGCCTCATTTTATATTGTGATCATATTTTTTTCTACATTTTCGAATGAGATCAAAAACACTATTTACTCAGCTAGGTAAGTATCTAATGAAAAATTTGTGAAAGATTAATGTATATCTTTTCTGCCTATTACTGACACGTCTTGGCTAACCACCCTTCTGAATGCAATCATCTCCAAAGTCTCAAAATCTTTGGAAACAACTGTCAAATAAAGAATGATAGGGATATAATAATTAATTGGCAATAAATTATACATTTAGAACAAGATCCAACAATAGGCGGTATGCAGCTTGTCCATCAGCAGTAGGCTTTGTTAAATACATATCACACCGATGTGAGTAGATTAACTCCTGGAAAGTGGTATGGATCACAGATCAATCGTATTACTAAGTGGTTCTATAAGTCATAATGTAACGGTTGTGTGATAAACTTACAATTTCCCCAGTTAATTTTAATTATTGTGAATAGAGAATTTTTTTTAATATTTCAATTTTTATCAAGCCACTCTAACACAATATATGTTTTTGTAAATCCTTCCTGAACAAAATAAGTATAACCAGTTGCATTTGGCCGGGTGAGATGTCCAGCTGACAGATAATCTATGCGGAAGTAAATCAACACATAATGGCATCAATCAAGCGTTGGAGGAACACTCTGAGATAATCTGAGAACTGGTTCAGCCAGTGTAATACATGCAAATAAACAGGGATCATGTGAAAGCTCAGGTGAAACTCCTCTATATAGGAGGCAGATCAGTGCTGTAATTGTTGCAGGGGTCAGTGAAAGTGGTGACCACCCTTGTATTGTGGGCTCTCTAGCTCTGTTCAATTGAAATTATCGTAAAACTAAAAAGCTGGTTTTTATTCTAAAACAGATTTCTATTAATTAGAGGTCGGGAAAATACAATTTTGTTTTGTTCTTACAAGTTTTAAAATCCAGTCAAAGCTGTGCCTTTGGTATACAGTAGTAAAAATCACACAACTCTTCAAACCAGTGATATAGTGGGAATAGGAGGCAAGTCCCTTACATTATAGGGTTGGGTGACCCTCTACTAAAACTAAAATATATTAAAATTGTACTGTTAAAACCATTTTTTCAGGCAATCAAGGTTACCCACATCGCGGTCCTGACATTTCACACTTTCCACATCGCAAAGGGGGTAAATTTCAAACATTGTTCAAATTTGGAGTTTGAGTGTAACATAGACGATTCAATTATTGGTTTTTTTTATCAAAAGGTCTCATAGGTAAAAGTAATAGTCCAGAGAGCCGAAATTCCCGGACTGGTGCTGGCAACAGACCTCCTAGGATCCATTTAGCTACCCTGTTGGACTATTAAAATATAGGCTGTTAACTTCTCCTGCCTTCTGAATATTGCATCCAACAAATTTAGTTGAACTGAATAAGTCTAAACATGTAAACACTAGTGAGTAATGTCTATCTAACTGTAAACACTTATGTTATCAAGTTGGGTTGTGATAACCCAGTGTTTCACGTCATTTCTGTGTTTTACTAGTTTAAAGTTCCCCTACTATCAAGCAGTTGACAATGAATGAAAATATCACTCAAAACAAAGGTTGATACTGTTTAAAAAACACTAACTATGGTTGATTTATTAAAGTAAATACAAATCATAACCGATAGTAAAATAAGTGCATCTTAGTTTATTTTGTTGAAATTTGCAACTATTTCAGTGGATGTTTATTTATATTTTTTTCAGTAAATATATTTAATGTTCTATTTCATAATGACCACCATCATTTTGGCTTCATCAAGAATAGAAACCCTTAAAAGAATTGTTTTTTTAAATTCATAAGGAATTTTTGGCTAACAGGCTTAACTTATATGAATGGTCCACCCTGGCGACAGGAACATAAAACTTAAAGAAGAGAAACATAAAGTTAGTATACATGAGAGTTTTAATATTTCAATATATCTGATGGAATTTCCAGTTAAAGAAGTTATACATTCAAAAGAAAGATTACTCCGACCTCTAATGTCTCCAACCTCTTTCTTTCTCTGGTTCAAGCTCTTTTGATCTCAAACCAGTTGAAAATAAAGTCAATGACAGTGAAGTATTGTAACTTTATAGTGTAAAGGTTTTGTGTTTCTTGTACCCTGGTGGACTCTTTCCCATTCAGGAAAACGAGTTATCCAAGCAACATTTTTGAAACCTAGGTCCTTTAGCTATGTATTTGATCCTTAACCTGTATAATGAAATTCATTTTCCACTATTTATTTTCTTGTTGTTCAGAATGTAGTTCATATTTGATAACCTCAGTAATGCCTGTAAAATCATGACAACAATGTTTATAATTCTCCAAGTAATATATGTGAACGAATGAGTATCGCACATTTTTATTGGTTTTGAGAAATAATGGAAATGCTTAAAGTACAATATTACATCACTAAATGTATAATAAAAAGGGATTTGATGTATTTACTGATGAATCAATTGTCAAGGTGACTAGGGCAGGTTCAGTGGACTTAGCTGTTGCCTTATATGTCCAGACAATCCAATCACCAGATAAGGCCAAGACTTGTTCTGTGAAACTCACACTCATCCTACTATCACAGATTGCTCTCAAAGTTTAAATCATCATCTGTTTATAATCTTAATGTTAAAGCTGCGGATCGTGAGCAACAACAGTAAAACGATTTTTTTTATCTACATATTGGTTACTTTGTCATAAATCTACAAGCAATTTGTGTTGATCTTTGCTATTTAATTGCTCTCTCTATACATGTATTTTTTACCATATAATTAATTGATTGCTTTCATAGATCTTGCAGCTTATCAGGAAAAACCCACCTATACAGCTAGATGTTCATTCATTTTAATGACATCATGAAAAATATGCCTGTTTTAGTGAATTTCCCATATAGGGAATAAACGATTACCATAGGTCTCATGGTAAGACCTGGACCCGGGACTGATTTACTTTTTCGTTTTTATGTACCCAGAGGCCAAAATCACTTTCAGTCCCTATTCATATATATTTATATGTAATGTCTGTTGGCACAATAACTCAAGCAAAGATTATCCATTTTTGATGAAATGTTGTACAAATGTGTACGTTGGTTTGAAAGAGATCGCAAACCAGCATGATCAGACCATGGAAAAGGGGGTTTTATGGGGTTAAAATGATCTTTTCATTTTTTACCCGCATAACAAAAAATGTCCTAATTTCATCCCAAACCAATTTGAAGAACTTAAAAAATCAATGACTTTGTTATAATGTTATTTTACAGTTATGTTATTGGTTATGGAAAAAATTCAAAAATTGTCAGTAGAAAATTGTCATGTTATTATTTTAGGGAATAGGTAAACTGTTATTATTTGCTTGTTTATGGATTTCACTAATTTATTAATATTTTACTAAAACACGCTTTATTTTACCCTCCCTGTAGCAGCAAGCCTAGGTACTCAATAAACCTAATGTTGTTTAAATAGATTTCAGTGAAAATCAAATCAGGCAAATGGAAATTCGCTCAGACTACCTACGTGTTACTTTACTAATGTTAAGGTTTAGTAATCTGTGTCACTGTGTCAAAATCATAAAGCACTATATTTATCCACATAATATGATGATTTACATTTTGTAGTCATTGTACACATAAAAACATTTAAATCGCAGAACAAACCATACTCGTTTGTTAAAATAGGTTAGCAAATATTATTTATATTATAATTATATTTGTATCAATCAAAGTAGTTTAATCACAAATAATAGAGTTCATTGAAAAGTAGTTTACTGTATTGCCTGTGGTTTGATTTGTCAAATAAACTGTTGCGGTATGTAGCATAGTACAGGAGCCTCCAATGTTACAGGACGGCTAGTCCATAATCAATATTGTACCAGCCTGTACAAGGATTTGCCATCCCATCTGTTCCTCACTTTATAGCCTACCTTCTTTATTGAATACTTTCATACAGAGTATAAGGTGTTATCTTCTTTTAATATAAACAAGGTGTTAGCCCGTCCTACGTACGGGAGTCAGTTAAAACTGTGTAGGCTTATAATTCAGAACAGCTAGTTTACACATATAAAGACAAATTTTATTGCAGCCTACAGTAGAAAGAGTAATTATCAATTGAGAAGTGTGTAGGCCTAGTCAATGATATCACCTTCCATTGCATACCTGCCTCTTCCATAATCAATATCACCACAATACAATTACTCATACTATACACAATTTCCAGTAGGTCTGAATTGAAACTCCCTAAAATAAAACGAAAACATCCAATAAAATTCATGGTACACATAATTATGTTGGTGTCCTGACATCATTAAACGAATCGTCCACACATCCTTTATATCAATTTCACTGCACAAATTGCTAAATAAATAAGTGTAAACAAAGAAAAGTAAACAAAACAACATATTAGTTTGTTTTATAAACAGCTGAGTCAAAAATAAAATAATATTCATTTGAACAAAAGAACTGGTCACATGTTGAAGGAATTTAATAAGTAAAAACGCTAGTAAAGTTAGTGACGTAATTAATTGTCTATGTTTATAATCCATTCAGTTATCAGTTCTAATATCCATTATAATTAAACCACCCTCATTGAATCAATGTGCATTGTAATTCCCCATATTCATTTATTTAAACTATACAAATATTCAGTCTCCAAACGTAACCACACACGCCAAACAACTTTTTAGATTTCATAAAAGGATGGTTAATCTAATTGCAGTATTGTATGTTAATGATGACGTTGTGTTCAATCTATGTCATTCATTTGTATATCCTTGGATAAAACCCGTCTGAGTTTGTGGTGGTAATTTAAAATCGTATTCCTGAGGATTCTTGATCTCCATCTTTATGACATCAATATTTCCGGGCCTAATCCAAACAAAGTTCAAGCATTCAAAAACATTGATTGTAAACAAAAAGCTGCCAAGATGAATTAAAACATGAACAAATTGTGATTTTCCTACCCTTTCCAAAAAGGTTGAGCAGTAAAATAATTTGCATATA